TTTTTTTTTTTTTTTTTTTTTTTTTTTTTTTTTTTTTTTCTTTTTTTCTTTTTTTCTTCTTTTCTCTTTTTTCTGTACGTAGGGTGGACGCGCATAGGTGTATGAATAGCTGCAACCCGGAGTCGCACATCGCGACTATATCAGAACAAGAACACAGGGGTCTTGTTCATCACAGCACGGCGCGAATATTCAAACGGAGCTTCCGCGCCTTTTTCCCTTTTTTTCTTTTCCCTTTCCCTTTTCCTTTTTTTTTTTTTTTTTCCGTTTTTCTTTCTTTCCTTCTTCCTGTTTTTCTTTGCTGTTTTTCTTTTCTTGGACCGGTAAATGGGCGGGTAACCGAGCCTTGACCATTCGGGGTGAACCCTTAGGCGCCGTTGTGAGGTCACGAAAGCAGCTCGCTCTCGGACAGATACGAATAACCGGGGTGTGTGCAGGGAACCCTTGAGGAGGCGCTAACCGATCTCGGGTCTGTGATACAGATCGTCCTATTCCGCCCCATCATTACTAATCGCGCCACCCCCCCTTTTTTCTGTCTTTTTTTCTCTCTCTTTTTTTCTTGTCTTTTTTCTGTACGTAGGATAAACGCGCATAGATGTATGCATAGCCACGATAGCTTGTTCTCTAAGGCCGTAACCCGGAGTCGCACATCGCAACTATATCAGAACAGAACGCAGGGGTTCTATTCATCGCAGCACGGCGTGAATAGTATTCAAACGGAGCTTCTGCGTCTTCCGCGATTGCGAGTGGTTGCCAGATCGACGGACGTTATGGACTTTTTCGTAGACTGGGAACTGGAGGAGGAGCAGCGGAATGAGGAGGAAGTGGTAACGTCGCTGAGGAACGGCACCTTCTTGGCTCTCTGTCCACACCTCGACGCTTGAGCACCCCCGGGACCCGCCATCATGCACGCTGCCTCTACCTGCCCCGCCGAACCCACTCCAGCTATTCCAACCCTCGCGCCGGCGCAGAGCACCGCCTTCTTGCTCATCCTCCTCCTCGCCATGCCCCCCAATCTCGCCATAGCCTGCGCACTGTTTCTAGCATGCCTCTCGGAGGGCGTCTTCCTTCGGCTATCGGCGAGGCGATTCGCGTTTGTAGTCGGGTGCACCATCTGCTACGCAACCCTCTTCCTCGCTAGCAGCTGCTGCTTGTTTTTTATCTTGGGCGCTGTGGAGCGGCTTGGGTACTGAGCGGACTTCGAGCTAGAGCGATGGAGCGTAGATCTACAGCAGAGGACTCCTCCTGCGCCTTTCTCGCCTTCCTTCCATTCCTTTCCTTCCTCTCTTCCCTCTACTTCATCCACTCCCTTCCCTACCCCTCTCCGCACGAACCTCTCTGCCCCCTTCCCCCCACCCCACCCCCCCCCCCCCAACCTCACGATCCTCCTCCTCCGCCCCCCCTGACCCATAACCTGAACACCTCATCAACCTTCACCACCCCCTTGCCTTCCAGGATGCCTAGAAGATGTCCCCCCCTCTGATGACGCCCCACGTGGCATGGGGTAGAAAAGCGCTTCAGGGAGCTGCCACGCCCTTCCCGCAATTCGGCGAGATGATCTGCACAGATGCAGGAATGCACTGATCTGGAGGAGAGAGCTGAAGCGGGATAACTTCTTCCTTTCCCTCTTCCCCCTCCCCCTCCCCCTCCCCCCTCCTTCACTCCTCCCTCACCCCCTTCTTGTTCTCTCTTCTTCTTCTAACCCCCCCTGATCCTCCCTTGCAACTGTTCGACACTAGATGCGCGAGGTGGGCGGCGAAACTTTTTTTGAATTGGGAATAAGCATTTTGTTTCAGCTTTGTTCTTCTGAGATATCACGTCTCTATTATATTCGATCTCCTTGGTTGTCGCTTTGTTTCCCGGAGTACTCTCGAAATGAATGAGCAGATCCTGTGTGATGTTGCTCTTCTCCTCCTTGCAATCCCTGTGGATGCTTTATCAATGAATGAGCCAATCTCGTGTGATGATTGCTCTATTTATTTTGCAAATCTCGGGATTTCTATCTGTTTGTTTGTAAGATAGTGGGTTTGTGTGGTTCGAATGCATTGGTATGTAATTCTGAATTAGGATAAGCTAATGTGTCTATTGTGGCTTCTCTCGAAACGGATAAGCCGAACTTGCGTGATGATTGCTCTTCTCCTCTCCACATTTTTTTCGAAGTACTCTCGGATGCTTTATCGGTGGATGAGCCGATCTTGAGTGTTGATTGCTCTGCTTCTTTTTGCAATTTCCATTTCGGGACTTATATCTACGTGCTTGCACTTTACTTTTTGCTGTTTAAATCATTCGCAATGGTAGAAGGATCGAATGCATCAGCATGTGTTTATAATGGATGGTTTACGGGAAGGGTTATCATTATTTTCGAGATTGATCGCTGCCCCCTTGTGATACGAAGCACCCCCACCCCCCGTTTGGTCACTTCGCCGCTAGCGCTGGTTTGGCCTACTTCACCCGGTAAACGGCCCCGTGATTACCCTCACCACAAGAAGGGACATACCAAGTGGTTATCCCTCGCCGCTCTTGAAATTTCGCCTCCTGCGCCTTGCTTTCTTGCTCACAGTGTGCCGACGTTGTTTGGTCGGAGTAGCACGAGCATGACGTGTCATGCTCGTGCGAAGCGCATGTAAACACACATGCTACACACACACACACACACATCATCATCACACACACACACATACACATCATCACACACACATCATCACACACACACA